GATTTCAACCGATTTAAAGACAAAAATGTTGCACAGTTTGGCTATCCAAATCTAGGCCGCAGTAAATTTTGCAAGAGAAATCGTGGTTTTCCAGTAAAGGGTTTGTAACTTTTTACTGAACGAGTGGAAAAAATCGATAGACAAGTTATGGGTTCAAAGCTTAAAGTTGTACATATATGAAGTAAATGCCATGTTTGAACAAAAGGTAAACTTTTGAATTGGTGTGTAAATACGGGATTGAGATTTCACAGTGAGATTGCTTTTGTCAAACTAATGTTATCCGACAAATAGTTATGTTGTTAGACTTTGAATACAGGTCACAACATAGCTAATAGTTTAGTAACGTGTCTAGCAGTATAAAAATCTTATGTTGTCAAATATAAGTATACACAAATACTTATGTTGCTAGACTTTGAATATAACTCAAACATACGGATAAAAACAACATGTATGAATAACTTAGATTCACAGTCTAACAACATAATAAACATCTTACTAGTAAAAAAAAATTTCTTGATCCACCTTCTTGGTTGGTAGTAACTGTGAAACCATACATGGAAGAAGGGGAATAAATAACTACTCCAATTCAACATATGAGATCCTGAATTACAGATCACTGATAATTTGTTTTTTTAGCTCAGCACTAAGTTAAAAGTAGTAACCATTCACATGACATGAACATGGTTGGCAGATGGCTGTAATTCTCTTTTCCAAAAGATGGCTGTAATTCTCTCTTCCAAAACTGACAAACTTTTCTGAACTTCTCAATGCTCTAGGAGCATCATCACTCACTCCAAGGGTAATTGAGTTAAATTAACTCGGTAATAATAAAAACTAAGTCGTAAATTTAGGTATAGTCAAGTTGGTTAGAGTAATATATTTTACCATTTGATTTTAAGTTTGAATCTCTCTTCCTCCGTATCTTAAATGAAATTAATATAATTATCTTGTCGTTTGTAAAAAAAAAAATCAAACTAAATAACCTTAAGCAAATATTAAACCAAATTTCAAAAGAATCGTTGGGTTTAAGTTTATCAATGTAATTGTCAAAGAATAGTTTAAATGGTTAAGAACGTTTATTCTTTCGCCAGAAGTCCTGTGCTCGAATCTTATTTTTTTTCTTAATATCCTTGCATTTAAAATAAGAAAAACCATGTAATTGTCCATGCCAAAATTCTGCAAATGAGATAAAATGGAAACCCAAAAATTTAATTTGCGGTTGAGTCGACAAGTCACACCAACACCTTAACTCTCCACTCTCGAAAGATTCCTATCACCATTATCTTGTATAAATGCTCCTCTTATCTCCACACACTACTCAATATCTGCCCCTTATCGTTTCCCTTCAGCTCTTATTTTCTGTTCCTTGTTTTCTGCAACCCAAGAACTTTTCACCATGGCCAGCACAGACTCCAAGTTCCAGCAAAACCCACCTCTGAAAACCCAAAAAATTTTTCTTGGAGTCCAAATCTTCATGAGAACTGTCACAATGACTGCTACATTGGCTGCAACTTGGGTGATGGTCACCAACAAGCAAAGCAGTCAGATTATTGGCATAGAATTTGATGCTCGATATTATTATTCACCTACCTTCAAGTAAGATGAAAGATAAAACCAATTTTATTTTGCCCCCGAAAAGTAAAAATAATTTTTTTCTCATTTTGTTTAATTAATTTTTCATACATATTATGTATTTTTGCAGGTTCTTTGCTTATGCAAATGCTGTTGTGAGTGCCTTCTGCTTGCTCTCCTTGTTCCTCCTTTTCCTTATCCATCGCCATGGTTCGAATCCTACCAACTACTTCATCTTGTTCCTACACGATTTGGTATGCCAACTCGGTTTTTATTTTCCACCCATAATTTTCCTTATTACCAATATTTATTGGTCTAGCCGAGTTCTCTGAGTTTTTTTTTCTTTCAAAAAGAGGTCTCAAGTTTGAATCTTTTGGTACAGACCGCAATATCTTGTCCCTACACAATTTGGTATGCCAGCTCGGCTTTACAAGCATAAAATTACTGTATATCAACGAACTATTAGTCTAGCAGGGTTTTCTCCTTTTTTTTTTTTTAAAGATGTCTCAAGTTCGAATCTTTCTTTCGTCTGACAGGTAATGCTGTGTTTGCTGATGGCTGGATGCTCAGCTGCAACTGCAATAGGGTACGTGGGGCAATATGGGAATAGCCACTCGGGCTGGGCGCCAATTTGTGATCACTTTGGGAAGTTCTGCAAAAGAGGGACTGATTCTGTGGTTCTCTCTTACTTGTCTCTCGTTTTCTTGCTCATGCTCACCATCAGCTCTGCAACCAAGTCGAGAAAGATTCAGGTTTAGATCTTCTAATTAAGTTGTTGTTGTTGTAAAAGAAGTTGAGCGTGATGGACGTAGTTGCAATGTGATATATAAGAAAATGTTGAGCTAGAGCCGTCCCACTGCAAACTGAGGCCTACGAAGAGAGTTTAATGAGGCACTCCTAATTTAATATCTTAACTTAGTTAATACATTTTTTTAATAAATTAGTGAGACTATATATCAAACCTACTAATTCATTTTACCATCTAGGTTATGAAAAAAATATGAGGTTTGTTTCTAACTGAGGACTATGGTACATGTCTTTGGTCGCCTTGCCTTTGGGACAACTCTGGTTGAGCTTGAGTCCTCTTTTTATCTAACCCTCTCCGCTAACACGGGTTTATCAAAAACACTTCCTTCGTGACTTCGTGAGTTGAATCAGTTGGTAAATACAATATTCATCAGTTTAACCAAAATTTGAATTCTCTATTTCATAAATTAGAGTAATTTAAAATATCATATTAATATAAATAAAAACAAAGATGGGTTAGTTTTAAAAGTATGTATGGAATCAATCAAATTTGTAAATTGCACATAAACGATAATATCATGAGTGCTGTTTGGAGGACGCGGAGGTGAGCTAACAGTCCACATCGGCCAGAAGACTTCTTTCATTAGGCTTTATATAGCACTCACTTGCAAGTAAGTTTTTCCCTTCGGGGCTATCCGATAAAATTGGAACGATACAGAGAAGATTAGCATAGTCCTTGTGCATGGATGACACGCATAAATCGAGAAATGGTCTAAATGTTTTTTTCCTTTCTGAGTTTCGATCTTCTTTTCCTTCAACTATTATTGCATCTAGTGTTTATACGTGCGGCGTTTTTCTTCTTGGGAAATGATAAACACACACCTTTTATAGCTTCCTATACACCTCTGACTAATCATATCCGTTGTTTTCGTTTGATTTATTCAATCTGATGGCTTGGAACAAAGAGGGGTGTGGGAAAAGCTATAAAAGGTGTGTGAAAATCAGCTCCCTTCTTCTTTTCTATAGTTTAATTCATGTGTCTCATATTTTCAAGTTTTGTTCTTTTTCTTTTGACTATTATTGCATATGATACTTAACAGTTCATATTTCTTCTTTCTATAGTTTAATTCAAAAGTGTTTCTGTTAATGTTAACAAAGGGAATACACTAGTTAAGTACTAAAGAAATATATTTGGATTTAACTGTAGAATTCATTTTTTGAATTTACTTCGTATTAACATTACCAAATCTTATAATTCTCATTTGGAACTAGCTACAATAAGAGCTCGTTTTGAAAATACTTTTTTAAAAATCACTTATGGTCAGAAGCATTTCTAGTATTTGGAGTACACCAATTTTTTAAGAGAAATTCAAGTGCCCACTAAAAAAAAGACTTGATGTGCTCCATGAAAGAAGCATGCAACATATGCTACTTATAAGAAACACTTTTTACAGAAAAATGCAAATGGCACCTAAAAAAGCAATTGAAGTGCTCTATTCATGAAGCCACAACAAGTGATACTTTCATAATGCACTTGATTTTCAACGGAGAAACTGACACACCCTGATCCGGAGGATCCAGGTGTGCTGACCGTCACGTGGGCGTGACGTAACCATAAGCACGACACGGAAGCGTAACAACAACATAAATCAACAGAAATTCAAACCAAACTCAACATAACCACATACGGACGTAACCGGACGAGTTACAAGTAAACACATAAGTTCAGAGCATAGGTTAACTGCAGTCAAGTAGGACTAAAATAAGAATACATCACCCTCAGGTGAGTCCTACATGTCCCAAATCTGTCAGAAAGCCGGAAAGGACCTCGTGAGCCAACCACCGCTAAACTAGAACCTGGAGGGGCACAAAACAAAATGAGTGGGTCAGTAAACAAAATTAGTCAGTAAAACAAATTAGTTTTGCAAACATTTAATTAAAACAGTTATATCCCCTCGCCGTAAAAACCTGTATACTTTCCCAGAAATATATAACCATATAAAATCTCAACATTTAAATCTCAAATCTTTAACATTTTCAAGAAAACATGCCATGCCATAAATCAAAATATAAATCAGGTGAAATGAAATCTTCAATCGGAGACCCTGCAGTTGGTCCTATACGATTAATTCAATAGCTCAAAATCCCACTAAGCCGGAGTCACCACAGTGACCTGTACGGCCCTACCTCTCTGCACATCACTCGGAACTACGTAAGGTAGTCTATACGATGATAGGTGTAAAAATACGCTCTAGTGCTTCTCTCATCATATCATCAGCGCGCATATCTAAGGTCACCCACCAGTCGGAACCCCTCTAATGGTCTGTACGACTGGCATGTCGGGACCCTCACATGGTCTGTACGACATCCACCTACTTGGATCCAAGGCGAGCGTGCGGTGTGGTGAATAAAATAAGCACTAACACCTAGGGTGCAGGTTATGAGCTCAAAACATCTCAACAACAATTCAATGAATAAATGAACTCACCTGACTTACCTGTGCCTCCACAGCACCATGCAACATGTATGCATCATATATCAATCATATAACTCATATGAAATTCACATTTTCCAAATAATTCTATGCATGGCATTTTCAAAACATAATTTCTCATAAAAGCATTTTTCTGGGAAAAACAATAGTATATAGGTAATACGAAAACAAAATTGCCCACTCACTGATAAGTCGACGGGTCGTAACCCCCGTGGCGTCCCTGGATGCGGTCGTCCTCGTGATACGTCTCACCTATATGCGAAACAACTATAAAAACGTTAATTTTAAACACATCACCAATAATTCGAAATAACTTCTCATACGGTGCTCAATTTTGGTATATGAATATACCACATCGACCTACTCGACGTCACGAGCGTCGGGATATTTTTAGAAAAATTTTTGGAAGCCCCACGCGCCCCCACGCGCCACACGTGGCACGGGTCTACGCGCTGGCCACGCGCAGCACGTGCAGTGCACGTGTCATCATCTTCCTCGCAGGGCCTCGCCGGACTGGTTCTCCGGTGGCCGGACTCCGGCCGAACTCCGGCCGATTTTCAAACTCACTGTTCTCCTTCGTTTTTCACCCATTTTCTTCGTATTTTATACCAAATTGAAGCCCTAAGAGTGCACTATCACGTTGGACTAGTTTTAGGGCCTAAAAACTACGAAATCTCACCTTGCAAAAACCAAGGGTTCGGCCAAACTTGAAACCTACGATCCCGGCGTCCAAAATTCTCCAACGAACGTCCCCGAGCTTCCTTAGGACCTCCTAAAGCTCACCACAAGCTTGAAATCTCCTGAAACACAACATTTTACGTTCGCATGAACAGTACCTCAAAAATGGAGGTTCGGGATCTACGTGAAATCGAAGGTTTCACTTCCTAAAACTAGTACCAATGAACTCAGGACGTCAAAACGATGAAGATACATACCTTATTTGCCCCGATCCGTCAAGTTTTGAAGGGTTTTGGTGGTGGTCCGTACGATATGGGTGTGTGAGGGTGTGAGTTCGTGAGGGAGAGACAGAGACAGGGAAAGCACGGGGAAAGGAGAGGGAGAGAGGAAGGTCATGTGTGGTCCAAATTAATCCACACCCTCCATTTCATCCTAACCAATTATACCAAAAATCAATTTCCAATAAAATCCCATCCAACCAATGCTATTTTCAAAATAACGTTACGTACCTACGTACCTTAATGTCCAATAAGGGCAATTCTGTCATTTCACATTCCCGTCAAAAGTACCTCCGGGACGGGCTGTGACAGAAACACATTGACCTTTTTCTACCAAAACACTACTAGAAATGTTTTTGGTGATTTGAAAGCACAAAACAACAACGATTAAGCCTTATTTCATTAAGTGAGTCAATTACATGGATACTAGAACGTAACTATGCTTGATTTTAGCACCATGTCTTTTGTTAGTTTCTAGTACTTCATTTAATTATTTTAAAAGTACTTCCAGACGGATGTTAAGTGATTGGCATTTGGTAGGGTGTCCTCTAGATTTTTCAGGGGACTATTAAAGGGATTGCTCTTAATCATTAACAAAGTATATTTATCCATTTGGAACACAGAGCCGAATACACGTATTGATACATATGGGCCGCAACATCTATTTATAGGCTCCGAAATACCGCAACCCAAACTCCACTAATATCGGCAATGTCTATCAACTCCCTTCCCTTATCTTTCAACTCAGCAAACAGTACCCTGCTTTTTTCTTTTTCTTGATAAATAAAATACATTGAAGAGAAAAGATAATACAAACAAGCATAAAAAAGCTGCAGCAACCAAGCCAACAACGTTGCACCAGAGCAGTAATAACAAACACTAATTATTCTTGGAGATATTTCATTTTCGTTAAATAAACTCATTAGCAGCAGAATGGATAATTTTCAAAGAACTCAACCTAAGTCTAATAATGGACTCAATTGAGTTGAGAACCACCATAGCGAGTTGACACGAGTTCTTGAATTTACGATTGTTCCGCTCTTCCATGCATAATTCATAGTAGCTACAAGATAAAACTTCAACCCCATCAACGATAAAGATTTTCCCTTCCAACGGTTAGCAGCCCACATGATAAAAAAAGGCCAAGCGAACCTTAGCCAAGGAACACCACACTTGAACAACACCGAAAACCAAATACCACCAGTAAAAAGACAATAAGAAAAGGGGTGGCAATGGGACATTGTAGTACCAAAGTAGATGATGCAAATCAAAGCATATCTATTACAATTTACGTAAGTTAAGTCAATTAGTTAAGTTAGTATTCATGTTCACGCTATTAGAATACTGTTTGTAAAAAATAATTAAGAAAAAGCCACATAGAAGTTTCTTGTTTTGGATTAAGTGAGAATATTACATCTTTTCATCACTAAAAATCACACTTTGACCGTATTTTCTCCAAAGATCCATTAGAGAGTATAATAATAATAAGGTGAAGAATTTAAAGATGGGCCACCAAAACCCACTAGCTGTCTTATTTCATTTCCAATTAGGAACAATCCAACAAAGCAAACAGAATCATAGTCATTTTCTTTCCAAATTAGTTCATTCCGACTTTGTATTACACTTAACGGGTTTTAATAGTTATCCATTGGGTTGATTTGCCATCTGGAATTGCGTGTGTGTGTGTGTGTATATATATATATATATATATATGGCAAATAATGGTTAGGAGATTTGCCAACACAGGAGTGCAAAATTGGGCAACCGATAGAACAAAAGCACATGCTCCATCAACAAAGCCACATGATTCTTAACCACAAAACTTTAAACCATCAAATTAGCTGAAAGAATTGAGATTATAACTTGTACGGCAATCTGATGAACGCTACTCAATTACAAAATCAGTCCCAAGAGATAATCTTAGCTATCTACGGTTGTATATCTTCTCGTATCTATCTACTTGTCACGCCAGAAAGATAGACACGACGGAATATACAACCCATTAAATAGATAGACTGTCTCCAACGTGCAGCCAAGAGCCAAACAGATTTGACACTTGCAAAAGACGAGAGATGAGTGCAGAAGATGATTAGGGTGATAATGGGTAATGGGGCATACCAGATTACAAGAAACTGGCATTACAGGGGAGGAACATAATAGAGACAGTAATGCAAATAATCCAGTAATAGGGTCCTAGCACATGGTTCTGGCCCCCCTCTTGTTTTATTATATAATTATCAATTGTCCTCCAGGTCCAAAACTTTCATCAAATTAATCAAGGATTAGGTAAACAGGGACCTAACTGCAAATTTGTTCATTTTCATGAATTGACCAATACTCAGAAATTTGACAAAGAGAAAACTTTACTCTCCGTCGCTTCACGTTTTTGTATAATGTTTTAACATATTGATACAAAAATTAACATTAAACTATGAGATGACACAGAAAATTCAACCTTACAAATCGTTGGTAGGTAATGATTTTCGCACTTCGGTTTTCCCTTCTGGCTTCTCCCTTTTTCTTTTATCCCTCGATCTATACAAGGCTCAATCTTTACGAACTATGGTTGGCTAGATTGTTAAGTCAATGAAGTCGCAAAAAGTTTACTACACATGTATGAACTCGCAATCAGGCAGCAACATCAATCATTGGCTTTTTGTTGAGAAAGCAAAGAACGCTTATCCAGTTAGGTCACCAAAACTAGATACAGTGAAGCTAATTTAAGTTTTCTAGCATGAATGAACACCAATGATAAACATGGTTGGAAAAAAGACAGGAAAAACAAAGCCAAAACTATAAGTAATCACAAGTTTTGTACATACAGATGAATGAATCATCTTCGTGTACCTCTATACTCCGAAATTCGGCATTCGTCAAGTCTTCCATCGTCAAGATCTGGCAAAAACACCCCAAATCTTACCCCGACCGAGGTTTTCCAAGAGCTTCTTAGACCCCTCTACTTCCATGTCGACGAGTTTCTGTAAATGTAGACGCGCACCGGCAGCAATCATTTGCTTCCTACACTTGTTTGAATGTGCAAGCGCTGCCAATAAGGCAACAGGGTATTTCTTATCCAGATTCTGAATTGATGGGTCCAAAAGCTGAACTGAACTCACAATTCCACCCTCATGTTTCTTAAAAATCTTTCGATTACCAGCGTATAAAATCAATGCTGACAAGGCCTTCGCAGCCGATTCTTTCTCCTCAACGGCTTTACCATCCAACATTTTGATTAATGGGTCAATGCAGCCACACTCACCCATCTCCTTTCGAGTTTTTGAGCAAAACCCGAGTTCATAAGCAGCCTTAGCTGCTGCAATTCTCACTCCTAACACACCACAACTCAACACCCCAACAAGCCTAGCTACAAACCCGTCAGAAACAAGCACTTCAGCAATCGGAGAACACGAAGCTAAGTGCCTCAAGAACTCGACCGCAACCTCGAGGTTTCGATTGTTATTGTTCCAGCCAGAGTCCCAGAAATTCTTCAAACACTCAATCCCACCTTCCCTAACAACCAAAAGCTTCAAACTTTCACTCCCAGAAACAAAATGACACAAACACCCAATCGCATTCTCTTGAGCCAAAGCCGTCCCGGAACTCGCAAGCCCCAAAAGCACACCAACCCCATTTTCCTCCAAGAAATTCTCTTGATTCTCGGCAAACCCAGCCAACTTTCTCAGCACACCTGCCGCCGAAGCCTGCGAGCCGGGCGTGCCGCCCTGGCAAATGTCCAAGAGCGACGAAACCCCACCTCTAGACCCAATTGCCCTCGCGTTCTCCTTCGAAAAGCTCAGAGCTTGAAGTGCCAAACAAGCCTTTTCCTTCGCGAACCCACTTCCCGAATCTAGCACCCGCATCAGGTGATTCAACAGCGACAAACCCTCCGCAATCAAGACGTGCTTGCTGCTCTCCACCATCGACACTATCGATATCGCGAAAACGGCGTTTTCCTTGGTTTCGATTGAGCTCGAATCGAGTAACCGCAAGAGCAACGGAATGATCCCCTGCGCCACGGCGATCATCACGTGCTTGTCGTCCCCCTGCAGAAGCCCTAAAAGCGCCTCCATCGCCGAGTTCCTCGACTCCGCGCTTCCTATTTGGAGCCGAGTCACCAGGTTCCGGCATTCGGCCCGGACCGTCTCCCTCTTGGAGGAGCTGCTGACGGACGAGACAGCGGAGTCCAGGAGGACGCCGCTCTTGATCAAAATCTCGGCGTCGGCGACGTGGCGGTCGAGGCGGGCCAGGATCGAGTCGACGTCGCTCTGGGTGCGGAGCTTGCCGGCGGAGAGATTGGCTGTCTGGCATTTGAGGGAGAGCGAAACGGCGTCGCTGAGGGTTTGAGAGACGGAGAGGAGGAGGTGGAGGGAGAGGGGGTGGGAGGTGGAGGTTGGGAGGTCGGCAAAGTCGACGAGCTGGGCCCGGAGCTCCGAGAGCTTGTCCCGGATTAAGGCCCATTTGCCTTTGAAAGTTTGGATGAGTGGGATTTGGTCGTAGAGTGAAGAGATGAGCTGGGTCGACGATGCGATTGGATCGTTTTCTGGTTCTTTCATGGCTTCTGCTGGCTCTCTGTAGAGAGAGAAAGTGAGGAGAGAGAGAGAGAGTCAGGGGGTTTGCTTTTTAGGGTTTACAGAGGAGAGAGACGAGTGAGAGAGAGAGGGAAATGTTGGAGTAAATGACGACGAGCAGGGGAGGTGGTCGCGAAGGAGAAGAAATAGTGGGGGGTGACGTGGAATTTGACTGGCGGCTTCGGCACACACGCAACTGCCGCGAGTGGTCTCGCGCGCCTTTAACGGACTCGGATTAGGCTACCGTATTTTAAGTTACAAGATGTAAACATTTTATCTAACATTTTATTAAAAGAAAACTTTTATTTTATTTTATTTTATCAAAAACATCGAATAAATTACAACAATATATTCACTTACTTGCGTGTTCGCTAAAAGAAAACTTTTGAATATCTAACATTAGCTTGTTCATACATGTTAATGACGTCATAAACATTCTACTGAATTTTTCATTTTATAAACTTAATATATCGACGGCAGTTATTATTATCCACGACTACATAAATCACTATATGGAGTTAAGTAAAAAGAATTAGATGTAATTCGTATTGACATCAATCTTCACTCAAAACCTTTGTAATGTAAAACTAAAGTTGTCTATATAATTTCACTGAACTAAAAATTATTTTGCTTAACTTTTCAATGACATTTTGGCATAATTATAATTAGAGAGACTTTGGATACGGTCCTTAATTATGAATATTCTTTGATTGAAACCTTGTTGGTTTTTTATTTTTTATCGAGGTCCCTGATATTAATGTGATAATTTATTTC